ATATTTTACTCCTTTATATCTTGAGTGTTTGACTAGGTAATAGTCGTTCCTCGACCTATTTTACACTAGGTTATGCTATTTTTGCCACATTTCAGGTCCTAGTATGTGTGGGAAGGTCGGTGACGAGTTTCAGGACTTTCAAAGGTCGAAGCGCGCCAAAAAGTGAAAAAGGCCAAGATCACGGCCTAGACGTGAAAATCATAGCCTCATGTCGTACCATTTCAAAGCGGTTGTGACCCTCGCATCGTTTCAAGGGCCACTTTGCACCTCGCGAGCATTATTCATGTCACGGCCTCTGGTCGGGACAATAATAGCCAGGTCGTGACGTTAGCTCAACATACTACATTTTTGGCCGAGATCAAGGCCATTGCTTCAGTTATAAATATGCATATGCGGGAAATAAGATGGGTGCATGCGTGTCTATGGTTCATTGTCTTAGCTATGGTGGACTCCATAGCTAGTGCAAGGTCCTTGTTGAGCCTTTTTGCTGAAGATTCCAGAATAGCTTTTGCAAGACTCTTATCAATTAAGAAATCACACTTGATTGTGGCGAGTATCTATCAATACCAATTTACCCTCCTTTTCTTGTGCAAGGTTGTTTGATTGGTTTCTCCACGTATCCCTTTATTTTTATGCTAGTTTGAAGGTCAATTAGCTACCCAAGTTGGAGTTGTTGTTGCGTGACTCTGATCAAAAGAACCTAGACTTTCACGAGCTTAGGATCTTATCAATGAAATTATCCTCCAATGATGGATTAAAGCTCCAATTCAACACCTAAAGATCTCTTTTGTCACTTTCTCTCTCTACCCAGTAGCTCCCACTTTCTCATTCTAGACTCTTGACTCGCTACGACACAACACCAAACTGCGACCAAGTGTAATCGCATAATGGAAATGCAATATAGTGGGATCAAGTAATAAAGTCAAACCGGAGCCTAAATGTACTGCCTAATCCGTGATTATCTATCATCTAGCGGGGAAAGTTGGGTGAGAAAGAGTTTAAACTAAAGCAGAAAGAAAGCAGTAAATTGTTCGGTTTCTGAAGCAAGAGTAGAGTCACTCGGGAATGAGTCCCCCTAGCTCCTTAATTAGGTTCAAGTTGTAATTCCCATTTGGTTGATTCACTGTTGATTAAACTGCGAAAAGATCCGAAAGTAGTTTGGAATCTCTTAAGCTGAACAAGCCCTCTTAGAGAGACTATCTGGCAGACGACTAGCCTTCCCTATGATAGAATGTTAAGGCAAATCATACATAACTCCACTACTAGAAACAGATTCCAATTCAAAGCAGTGAATTGATTGACTCTCGTACAATCAATTCACTCATATCGATTGAAGAAGCTCTAACTACCTGATCAGATTCTATTTATCACAGGTTGAAGCAGAAATCAAGAGAAGTTGATCAGGATTCAATTGACTCAATAAACACCCTTCAATTGATTAAAAGTTAAAACCAATCAGTATATCATCCCAAAAGTCATTACAAGCAAGATCCCTAACACATAGAACTAGGGTTCTTCATATCCAAGTGAGAGAAAGGTCTACTACATAGAAAGAGAGAGGAAAACAGAAATCAAAGCAGTCATACTCATAAAGATGGGAGTAATCTGCTCTAAGAGATTCCAAGAGCCTGCAAAATGCAAGTGGCCTTTTAGAAGTGTGAAATCTTCAAGCTTTCCTTGTGAATGTCATGGATGGGTCGTGAGAATTTTCTCTAAATAATGACTTTTACACTTTTCTTCACTTTGTCCTGATTTTGGCTCTCGTTGGTCTAACAATTGCTCCTTTTGCCAATATCACCTGCTAGTGCCTGAAATACACTCAACCAAGCACAACCTAGCGTAAAACAACCTAAGAAATTAAACTCTCCCACGCTTAACCGTTTGCTTGTCCCCAAGCAAATCTAGCTCAGACTAGTGCAACTTGATGGACCCTCACAATGGTATGCAATCTAGATTGTTGGTAGCATGTAAACTAGAAACTTACGACGTCAACTAGAGACAAGAAATCTCACATCCACCTCAATGTGAAGGGACCTTGCCAACTAGTGAATCTTAGACACGTGAAATGTGCATGAAAATGACTCTTAAAAATGATTAAAAACAATGGACTCGATGGTGGTACTCCCACTTAAAAGGGCACAAACTTTCGAGCCTCAACATACATTGCCACTCATGGCATCACACATGTAGTTTCAGAAAGCAAGGGCTCTATTCTTGTGGCTTAGAACAGAAATAACACCCACTTCCCTATCTAGCCCATGTGGGATATCTAGCCCATGTGGGGAAAGAGGTGTAAAGTGAGGATCCTGAACTCACTTTACACAAAAGCATTTCCCAAAGCACACTCCCATCCCTATCCTCCCTAGAATGCACACCATCACGACATCCAACAATTCAAAGCACAATTAGTAGGACTCATGTATGAGACAATGTGTTTTGAACCCTTAAATCTAAAATTTGGACATATAGTTTTGGTTCCTAAACACTCTCAATGTAGTCCAAAGGACAATCATTCATCCACATTTGCATGGAGCCCTCAAAACGTATAAATTTGGGCACTGATCAATGCTCCAAAACATTCATCAGATAGGCCAAACCATTCATTCACGTTCACACATCATGTTTGTGGCACTCAATCACTATCATCATCATCATTATTCTCGGTTCTCTGCGGGTGACGAGGGGGAGAGGGAACCCATTTGGAGCCACTAAATTCGAGACAGTGTCGGGCCACGAGCTACTGCTCCATGTAAGGGGAATGGCGGCGAACATCCTCTCTCGGCCGAGATGAGACACCAAGCCGAAGGTCTGGCCCTCCAAGGATGTGATCCTGACACTAATAGAGTTAGAGAAATAAGGGCCACCTCTGGCAGTCGATGTAGACAGTCTGGCTCGGGCTAGGTGGTACTGTGCCAGAGGCATCTGAGCAGCCCCAGCTGGCTCCTCTGCAACTGGTGCTGCTAGCGGTAGAAAAGCAGCAGGCATCAGTCTGACAATGCACCAAAATCTCCTTTGAGTCTGAATGAGCCCCATATGGGCAAGTGTGCCCTTGAGAAAGATTTCGGACTCCTCAAGTGAATAACAAATAGCACAATAATTTGTAGTACACACTAGAAATGCCACAAAGCACACAACCAAACTCAATAAGCAAAACACAAAATTCCTAAATCACAAGAGAAATAAAAGAAAAAAAAGCATACTAAAAACTTGAGAAAACAGTCCAGAGAACTGCTAAAGAACACGACAACACGCACCAAGTACCAACAACTCTAAAACAAATACAAACTCACACCACAAAGTTGCCAATGCATACCATAAAGTCTAAACAATTCACAGACACAACAAACTTAATCTACTTTTAGTAGCATAAAAAATCATGTCAGAAAATTTGAATGCAAAAATGCTAGAGAGCATACTTTAAAACTAGGGTTTAGAGCATGGATAGGAAGAAGTATCGAGGAGAATTGATATAAATGGATGCTAGTGTAGAGATGCAACATCTTCTGAAAATGCAACGACGAAATGAGGAGTGGAGAGGCAGGACGATACCGATGCGGAGAAGTAGAAGGCGATTTGATGATTTCGATAAGTTCCATCTTTGAAATCGCACAAGAATAACTGTTCAGTACCATAAACAAAGATTGATTATCAGTCGAGAGTGCAATTGTATGCACTAGGGCGAAGACTAATTCTGGCGGCGTAGAAGAACAACTCTGACTACTTTTCGGAGGTTGAAAATTTAGACCTGGCAATCGGGTCGGGTTGGGTAATTTCGAGTCGAGACTTTCGGTTACTGGTCGGGTCGTGTTTGCTAGGCTAATTTCGGGTCAAATATTGACCGAACCCATTCGGTTTCGGGTCGGGTTACAGGTTGGGTTATTAGCGTTCTCAGAAACAATATCAAACATGCTTCATATTTTCTTCAAGAACACAAATTTTCACAAATGCATGACAACAGTTTACCTAACACATGTCCATTAACATATTCTCAAATCCTCCCATGCTAATTAAATGAAATACAAATTACACAAATTGTCAAAAAACAATCACAAGAGTAATGTTATTACACGAAACACATGATATTTGATTATCCTTAAGCTCCAAACATATGTCATTCAAATCCATGTGAATTTTTTTAAATATCTCACCAATTTATGAGTGGTTTTATCATTTTGGGAGTGATATATAAAATGGAGCGGGTCTAACGGGTCAACCCGCTAACCCACCCAACCCGACCCAAAAAATTGCGGGTTATCGGGTTTGGGTCATTCGGGTTTCGAGTTATTAAAACTTCTACTTTTCGGGCGGATTCGGGTCGGGTCAACGGGTCGGGTTGTAATTTGCCAGGTCTATGAAAATTGCTTCGAAGGATAGAGAATCACTAGAGAGAAGTTGAAAGTGAAAATGAGTGGTTTCACTGTTGGCCACACGCTGTTTTCATTTAATCTTAATTTTGATTTTTTTTAATTGAATCCTTAATGAGTAGTGTTATTTAAGTAACAATACTAGAGATGTTATTCTATCCTGATGATACGAGGGAATGGAGAGTGAAATTAAAAACTTTGGCTTCTTTTTTATATTTAGTTCCAGATCAAGAAACTTTCTTTTTAATTTTTTTTAATATGGTGGTTTGACTACTTGAACCGGTCATTCGGATTGTTCGATTAGAGTTGTTACTTGTTAACCTTTCGAAATTCGAATCGATATCTCATTATTCGATTTGAAATCAGCGATTAAAATAAATCATCTAGACCGATTTGATGTCCGGTCATAGATTTTACCGGTCAGTCCAATTTTCAAAACAATGAGCAAAAATGCAAAAAGAAAACTTTGAAAGGAAGTAACATATCGGGTTGTGTTGGCGAAATGATTCCGGGTTAACCCGTAACCAGTTACTGCTGAACAATTACTTATTTATTTGATAATTGATAAAATGAAATTCCTAATTTCCTACCCTAGACGAAACAATTCAGACTACTAGCGTCAACTGAAGAGACCTGCTCGCCCTCCGCCTTCGCCTCCGCCTCCGCCTCGGCGCCTCCCTCAGTTTGCCGACGGCACTTCTCTTCACTCCGGCATCCCTCGCCTCTCTCTTCCCAAATACGTTCTCTAATTAGCTCCCCTCTTTTCTCCCGGGGTAAGACGACGAATCTCGTAAGCCTTCCAGTCGCCGCCGTCCTGTAAAATCCCGTCTCTATTTGCTTCTGGGTTAGTGCGTTTTACGTGGATTTTTTTTCTTCTTCTGGGGTTTGCTTTTAGTTTTAGTTTTTGGAGGATTGTTTCTGTGTCTCTATCTTGAATGATTATTAATGGGTTCTGGGTTTTGCTCCGAATGGTGTTCTTTATGGATACCTTTGGAGTCGATGGATTTGCCCACTTTCGGTTATGAATCTCTGAAGTGGGATTGCTTTGAACTTACGCTAAATCCTTTTCTAAAATTCTGTGAGAACTTTCAGTCTTTGTGTTTCCTACTTGATGTCTTTCTCTCAGTCCTTGGAGGTTCTTGCTTACTGTTAGGTGGAGTTGGTAGTAAGAAGGACCTAGTAACCAGTGGCTAATTGGATTTTTATTGCATCCATGTTCCTGTTTGTAAGCAGGAGTCGTAGGAGTAGCTTTGGATTTTTATGGGCACGGAGAAGAAGATGGAGGAGACAGATAAGAAGATAGAGTTCAGGTTGTACAATACAATGAGCAAAACAGTTGAAGTTTTCAACCCCATTGTTCCTGGCAAAGTTGGCATGTACGTTTGCGGTGTCACTGCCTACGATCTGAGCCACATTGGCCATGCTCGTGCTGCTGTTGTCTTTGATGTTCTCTTCAGGTATGCAATTTGAACACAACTACATGCTATGCAATGAGTGGAATTAGTTCTTGATAGTGATAAAAATGTATCATATGTTTAGCTTGTTTCTGTTTGCTATTATCTATTCAATTATGTCCTGAGCTCGTTGGGCCATAATTGTGAAATTTGAATTGGATGGCACTGTAGGTGTCTGATTAATCATACTGGTTAAATTTAGGTTTTGATGATAAAGTTGATATATTAGCCAAGTGAGTGCTGAGACTTCACACACGTTTTCAAATGTAGCATTTCCTAGAGTTGCCATGTGGTAGTTCAGACTGTTCTGTACCTTGATCTTTTCTCAAGTTGGATGAAGCTTAAGTGCTTCAGAGTGTTTACTAGGCCCCTTTTTGGCATGGTCAATCACAGAACTAGCACAGGTGTTTAAGTTCTTTTCTCAACGTGTGTTCCCATTTATTTGTTCAAGGCACTTGATATGATCTCTAAAATTGTGCAGTAGGTTTGGAGGTTTAGCAATGTCTTTCCTGAGAAGTTTGTTTTTGTTTCTTCCAGCTGTTTCAAGGCTAAAGTATTGTTGAGTACCAGTGTGTATTGCAGTTATTTTATTGCATCCTTCTTAATCTGTAGGTACCTGCAGCACTTGGGTTATGATGTTACTTACGTTCGAAACTTTACTGATATTGACGACAAGGTGAGGTTTTCATCCAAGCCATTGTTCTCGGTGAAAATCTGTAAATAATTAAGAAAAATTGAGTGATTTGAACATTATTCTGGCAGTTCCTGACACTTTTTGCTGGATTTGTAGTTTAAATTTTTAGAGTGACTTTGGCTAATTATTTAAACAAAAATCTTCGATGTACAATTATGCATACATTAAGTAAGGATTAAAAACTGAATCTAGTGGGAACTGGTTGTCTTGAAGTTTTTATGCCCGCCTTGACCCTTCTCCGCAGTTAGTGGCAGAGCCAGATGGTTTTTGCTCTGTCACTGAACACAGGCAAATTATGGTAAAAATATAATAAATCCCTATGTATGCTTATGAAAGAGATCAATCTCATCACCTTAAGGCGACGTAAGAGTATTTTGCCAATGCATTAACGCTCATTTCTGTTTATTTGATTGCCACAAAGTTAATTTATTACATTTTAAATGAAATCCCCATTAAAATTATTTTATCTTTTGAAAAGAGGACACACCTAGTTTTTACTCTTGGCTCTGCCACTGTCCGCAGTAGGCCTCAGCCATAACTCGTGAAGCTTTCTTAAGAAATTAATGTAAGCTAAAAGTGCAGCCACAAATTGTAACGTGATGTTTGAAGTACCATGCTTTTCGATTTTTGATCGAGCATAATCTCTTCGATACTTCACATCTAGCTTGATTGGTATCTTATTTCTTAGAGGCTTTATGTTCTTGATCCTTGGTTAAAGCATTGATTTTGTCTCCATACATGTGTGGCTTGGCTTTTCTGTTTTAACTAGCACCCTAAATCCCAGCTTCTAGTGATAAAAAAGGTAACCTTTCTTAGAGCTTCTGAAATAAGAATAAAAGTAGCATAGTTTTCTTGGGGGTTCTGTCATTTTCTGGTTATTCTATTGTTTGATAACTTGGTCATTATTGTTTCGGTTGATCCTTTCTCTCTGCCCCGCATTCACATCCATTGATGACGTGAGCAGATTGCTATGAACTAAGTGAACTAAGTAGTCCATAAGCTGTCCATTTCATATGATTGAAGTGCTAATGAAGGGTTTTTCCTTCAGATAATTAAGCGTGCTAATGATCTTGGTGAAGACCCTTTGTCCTTAAGTAATCGGTTCTGTGATGAATATCTTGATGACATGCAAAGCCTGGCATGCCTCCCTCCTACTCACCAGCCACGGGTAACTGAACACATGGAAAATATCAAGAACATGATAGCTCAGGTATCTTACCGAAGCTACTGGACTATTTGTTTTCACTCTGCAACATAAATACCTGTGTTAGCTACTCTGAACTGCTTGCAGTTTGTTGGAAGGTCTTGAAGTTGTTAACAGTCTGCATAGAGCAATTCTCATTTTTGCAGAGTAGCACTTCAAAGCTAGCCTTGACTTTTTTTTTTCTTTCTAAATAAATGGTACAATTATCTTTTGCAGATTATGGAAAATGGTTGTGCATATGCTGTTGAAGGAGATGTGTTCTTTGCTGTTGATAAGTCCCCAACTTATGGTCAGCTATCTGGGAGGAAGTTGGAGGACAACAGAGCTGGTGAACGTGTTGCGGTTGACCAAAGAAAGCGTAATCCTGCTGACTTCGCTCTTTGGAAGGTCGGCCACAATACAGCTTGTCCCCTCCCCCTCCCTGGATTTGTGGTTTTCCCCTCATATCTGACATTTTTACTTATTTATGTTGCAGGCTGCAAAGGAGGGTGAGCCGAGCTGGGATAGCCCATGGGGTCCAGGAAGACCAGGGTGGCATATTGAATGCAGTGCAATGAGTGCACAATATCTCTCTTTCAGATTTGATATCCATGGTGGTGGAAGTGATTTGATCTTCCCTCATCATGAGAATGAAGTGGCTCAAAGTAGTGCTGCTTGCAGCGACAGCAAAATCAATTTCTGGGTCCATAATGGGCATGTCACAAACAACAACTTGAAGATGTCAAAATCGTTGGGCAACTTTTTCACCATCCGTCAGGTAAATAACTTTCACTTGCTATTTTTCTTTTCTTACCTCGCTTTCTAGCCATTTCCTGTTCTTTTATCACCTCTAAACAACTACAATTTGTTGCAGGTTATCGAAAGGTACCATCCACTTGCTGTGCGAATGTTCTTGATAAGTGCTCATTACCATTCTCCCCTTAACTATACCGTCGGCCAGCTAGAGCTGGCTTCTGAGACAGCTTATTACATCTATCAGGTATCATCTTGTAATTAAGCGATCTTTTTGATTCAGTTTTCCTCCCTGTATTATTGTTTCCTCAACATTTAATTTAATAAATGCACATATATGCTTATCTTGAGGGAAATGACACTGTAAAAATTTGTGATTATGATGATTACTGCAGACGCTGCATGACTTGGAGATTGCTATGTTACCACCTCAAGATAGCTTGAAGGAGAAAGGCGGTGAAAGCAGTGATAAGAAGAGTGGCAAGAAGCCTATCAAGTTTACTGATGAGGCCGAAAAGTGCATCGCAAAGCTGAAAGCTCATTTCAATGCTAAAATGTCGGAGGATTTAAACACATCACAGATATTAACTGGAAAAGATTTCAATGAAGCCTTGAAGTACATAAATTCCAATTTGAACCTTCTCAGGGTAGCGCTCATTCCAAGCACAGTTTTCTAAATTGTCGTCCTGTTTCTTCATTTGTTCGCATATGTGGTGCTGATGAGTTGTTTTTTGTTCATCATTCTGTTAATGCCCCTTCTCCTCTTCCCTTCGTATTTTGCAGAAGCAAAAGCAAAAGCTGAGATCGTTAGATGTGTCTCTTGCGGCAGTAGCAAGAGAAGTTGAATCAGTATTGAGAATTCTGGGCTTGATGCCAACTGTCAGTTATTCCGAGGTTGGTTTTGCCATCCATACGATTGTTTTAGACTGGAAAACATAAAGATCAACCGTGGAATTTTTCTAGGAGCTTGGTGATTTAAATACGTTTGTGTGTGGTACGTACAGGTGTTGCAGCAACTGAAAGAGAAGGCGTTGATTAGGGCTGAACTAAAGGAAGAAGATGTGGCAGCATTGATTGAGGAAAGAACAACTGCGAGAAAAAACAAGGAATTTGGGAGAAGTGATGAGATCAGGGCTGACTTAACAGCAAAGGGAATTGCACTGATGGATGAGGGCAGGGAAACTGTTTGGAAACCATGTGTTCCTGTTCTGCCTGAAGAAGAAGGTGAAGAGTTAGCAGCAGCGGCAGCAGCAGTGTTAGCAGCAGCTTTGCAATAGCAACTATAAGCGTCAAGTCAGCCCGTAGGCCGTATAATTGAAAATCCGACTTCTTTCGTTGTTAACTAGACAAGTCCCGTTAAATGCATGTGGGGGAGGGACGCACAAACTTTTGCAGTGTTCTTGTTATACACAGCTGGAAGGATGAGTATGGTTTGGTTGGTCGAGAAACTGTGGGTTGAATGATCCCAAACTCGTCCACCTACTATTGGGCATTTGCTACTTCCATTTGAACAGCCTTAACGTTCATTGCTTGGTTGAATTGACAATCGCAGCTTTTTGTCGTCATAGCGCCAACATGGATGCTATCTAGGAGAGAGGAAGCTTAGTGTCCAAGTCGTTAGGGCTTGCCATCTATGAAGCGTCTGTAGTGATGTTGAATATGGACAAGTTGGGGTAAGAAGGGCTAGTCGAGCCTAGAGGTTGAGAGTGTCTTTTCATGGATGTTACATCTACTCTCTCCCGTTTCCTGATGGAAACTACAGTACAGACAGGTTGCTTGAACCTTTGACAGGGGAACTGGGAGAGAGACTAGGATTCAAATAGAATTGCTACCTTTGTCAAAGGCGGCCGGCTAAATTGAAGTCACATTTACACTGAGCTTTGTCGATGGCCTGCCCATATCTTTTCCCATAATGCCAACTGCAAAACGACGAGTACAGAGTGCTTAGATTAGATAGTCATCAGTCAGTCCTCAATTCATCGCATCGGTCTTTTTCCTTCAATCTTTCATTTAATTTATAGTCTCAGTCGCAAGAACTCACCGGTCAGGCGATCACACCTCTCGCATTTACTCTTCCTCTGTCGTATTTAGTCCAGGCCGGCCCGGCTCACTGACCCACCGCCGGAACTTGAACCACATCTTCTTGTTAACTTAACTCGCGCATTCAATGCCATCATTTTGTCTCCTTTTGCATTCCTCTTTCCCTTCCTCAACTGCCACACCAAATTGGTTGTAAATAAATCCTCCCACCCGTACATCTCCGCCGCCGATGAAACCCGACCCGGCCGGCTGCACTCATCATGGTCATGGAGCCTTCTTCCCGCCTGAAGTATCTCCTTCCCTCTCTCCTCCTTCTCTTGTTCATATCTGGTTGCTTAAACTCGGCAGCTGGACCTGTCCCCGGAAACGAGTCGGACAGGCTCGCCCTGCTCGACTTCAAGAGCCTCATCACCCAGGACCCGCTCCAAATCCTCAGCTCGTGGAACGGGTCGGTCCATTTCTGCAACTGGGTCGGGGTTTTCTGCAACCCGTCCAATTCCAGGGTCCAGATTTTGAGTCTCCAGTCTCAGAGATTGAGCGGCTCCTTGCCTCCTTCATTGGGCAACCTCTCTTACCTCACCGCCATCAACCTCCGAAACAACAGCTTCCGCGGCCATGTCCCTCCTCAAATCGCCCGCCTCTCTCGCTTGCAGCAAATCAACTTCACTTTCAATTCCTTCTCCGGGGAATTCCCTTCCAATCTCAGCACTCCCGACCTTACTGTTCTTGACCTCGCCGGGAACAACTTCTCCGGCCAGATTCCCGACTCCCTGGCGTCCAAGTCCAGGTTGGTTTGGCTGGACCTCGGCTTCAACAGCCTGACCGGAATTGTCCCCAGATGGCTGGGGAATTTGTCTTCGCTCGCTGTTCTTTCGGTTGGTCCCAATTATTTAGTCGGAAATGTACCGGACGAGCTCGGCAAGCTTTCCAGGCTGGGGTTCTTCCAGCTATACGACAACTCTCTCACTGGTACCATTCCTCCTGCGATTTACAATATCTCGTCTCTCTACTACTTCTCTGTTGTTCAGAACCAATTGCACGGCCAGCTTCCGACGGATGTCGGCCTCACGCTGCCAAACCTGCGAACATTTGCCGGCGGCGTAAATAACTTTACCGGCGAGATTCCTGTTTCATTAGCGAATGCCTCTGGGCTTCAGATTATCGATTTTGCTCAGAATGGCTTTACTGGGAAAATTCCTCATAGCCTGGGGGGCTTGCAAGGCTTAACCAGGCTTAATTTTGATCAGAATAGGCTTGGAAGTTATGACATTGGAGGGATGGACTTTCTTGCTGATTCACTGTTTAATTGCTCGAATCTGGTGGTCCTGGGCTTGTCCAGAAACAAGTTTGGGGGAACTCTGTCAAACTCCATAGCTAATTTGTCCAGTCAACTGCAAATCCTCACTCTGGGAGAGAATCAGATTTCAGGAACGATTCCTGATGGGATAGGGAATCTGGTGAGCTTGGCAAGTCTGGGTTTGGAAGGGAACTATTTTACAGGCAGTGTACCTAACAGCATTGGGAAGCTTCAGCAGTTGGAGGGTTTAAATCTCAATTACAATAGATTTTCTGGACAAATTCCTTCCTCCATTGGTAACTTGACCAGATTGACCAGGCTTTTCATGGAGGTAAACCGGCTAGAGGGAAGCATTCCTCCCAGTCTGGGGAACTGTCAAAATCTGCAGAATTTGAATATTTCTTCCAACAGACTTAGTGGAAGCATACCCAGAGAAGTTATGGGGCTTTCCTCTCTCTCAATTTCCTTGGTTTTGTCCAGTAATTTCTTGACAGGTGGAATACCACCTCAAGTTGGGAATTTGAACAATCTGATGAACTTGGATCTGTCAGGGAACAAGTTGACAGGTGAAATCCCTGGAACAATTGGCAGTTGTATAAGCTTGGAGAGCCTAAGCTTGCAGGGGAATGATTTCCAAGGCAAAATTCCAGATTCTCTCAAATCCTTGAGAGGGATAAAGAGCCTGGACCTTTCAGGAAACAACTTTTCGGGAAACATTCCTGAATTCCTCACCACACTCTCTTCCCTCGCCCATCTCAACCTCTCCGAGAACAAATTCACAGGGGAAGTTCCAAGCAAAGGTATATTCGGAAACTACTCAGCCTTCTCCATAGCTAGAAATTCCAGACTCTGCGGTGGAATCCAAAATTTACACCTGCCTTCATGCACCCAGGAGGCGAGGCAGAACAAACCCACTAAATCTCTTAACCTCAAGATCGTCATTCCAGCAATTTTGATAGCCATATCTGCTGCTGTTATGGCCTTTTGTCTTGCTGTAATCCTTGTTAGAAAAAGAAGAAAGAAAGAAAGACCCTCATCGGCAAGAAGCTTGGAAGTTGACCTTGCTTCAGAGCAGGACTACCAAATAGGAGGCCTTTTATCTTATTCGGACCTCCTGAAATCGACAGATGGCTTTGCTGCTGAAAACTTGGTGGGTTCAGGAAGTTTTGGTTCTGTCTACAAGGGAGCCTTATCTGATGAAAGAACGACGGTGGCAGTTAAGGTTCTGAACCTTCAGCAGCAGGGTGCTTCGAAGAGCTTCCTGGACGAATGCAATGCTTTGAAAAACGTCAGGCACAGGAATCTGGTTAAGATCATGAATGTCTGCTCAACTGTAGATCGACGAGGGAATGAGTTCAAAGCTATAGTCTTTGAGTTCATGCCTAATGGAAGTCTTGAAGATTGGCTTCATCATCAAGACCGAGCTAGAAGGCTGAGCCTTGCCCAGAGACTCAACATAGCTATTGATGTTGCTGCCGCACTGGAATACCTACACCATCATTGCGAAACTCCGATTGCTCACTGTGATCTCAAACCCAGCAACATACTTCTGGACCAGGACTTGACGGCACGCGTGGGTGACTTTGGATTGGCAAGTTTTCTCTTTGATGGAAACCAACCGTTGCTATCAGTGAGCTTGAAGGGTTCAATCGGCTACATTCCTCCAGGTACGTGTTCTGCTTCTGACTTTCTGCCACGGCTCAAATCCATTACCAACCATTTTCTGACCGCTACCTGAATCACTATCTTATCAAAACAGAACCTTTTTTTTTTGTTTAATGATGATTGTCTAAATGGCTCTGGTGCAGAGTATGGACAGCGCGGCCGAGTTACAGTGATGGGAGATGTTTACAGCTTTGGGATACTGATCCTGGAGATGTTCACAGGGAAAAGACCTACTGACGAAATGTTCAAAGACGATTTGAGCATTCACCAGTTCGTGGCAGTGGCGTTGGCAAGGGGTCATGTCATTGACGTTGTTGATGCATCGATGCTTGTTGATGAAGAGATGATAAATGGTGGTGGTGATGATGATGATGATGGCTGTGGAAGGGAAGAAGAGAAGGGAATGATGTGGGCTGCTGCGGGTACTCTTTCAGGGAAGGAAAAAGTTGGAGAATGCTTGACCGAAATAATGAGAGTCGGACTGGCTTGTTCTGTGACATCTAGCGGGAATCGGATAGGAATGAGCGTTGCTGTAAATAAACTGCAAGATATTAGGGATTCGTTGCGCAGATGATAAGGAGGCGAACTTCAAGAGGAGTCAACAAACCCATTGATCAGATTGGTAAGCACAGTAATTTTCTACCTGAAAACCATATCCAATCTGTAGTTGCAAGATATGTATATTTTTTTTTTCCCCTTTGTTTTGGATAGGTGTGACTGAGATGCATTGTATTTGTGTAAATCAGATGTTACAACACAAATTTTTGTAAAGGGGAAGCTTTTTTTTTTTTCGAGATAAAATTAAGGAAGTTGAAACTAATAAAACGGCATGATATTAGTTATTTATTTCATTCAATTTTTTCATAAGATGCATCATGCATATAACACTATTATTTCTTGATGTTAGCGTGACGAGGAACGGAAGTATCAATTTTATATATAGAACCTGATAATAAACATCTTGTAGTATGAAACCCTAATAGACCAATGTCTCACAGAATATGTGAGCAACTTCCTCTACCGTCAGAGGCTGTGGTAAAGGAAGACTGGAGTATCACTTTCCGATACAGGAAAGGCTAAATCAAGGTCGTGAATGGACCCCTTGAGTTCCGCGGAGGTTTGTCAAAAATGAACTTCTTCGACAGAGTAATAATGGCTGGAGGGACCTATGAAACGAAAGAAAACAACTTCTTGATTAATTATCAGCTGACAATCGAATGACAGGTCTTCTTCGTCGCGGGCACGATTTGAATTATCTGACACCGGTGGCTGATGGGTTTCGGTTTTGTCATGCCACTTGTGGCTTGGAATTGGATGCCCACTTTACTCTGATGCAAAGTGAGATGTCTGATTCAACGGCTTGCTTCTTCAACAGAACAGAACAGCCTAATTAATATTGGAGGGAGCGACCAGCCAATCTAACCATACAAGATAATAAGATATACTAGTAAGAGCCCGCTCGCTATCGTTTTGTGTATAAGAAAATACATATTTGAAAGAGTAATAATTTTAATGTTGACCCAAAAGTGAAAGCAATTTTATTTCATTCTTAATTATTTTATTTCATAGGTTTGTTATTTACAATAGCATATGATCAATGAACTTGTATAAGGTAGAAGAATTGTCGAATAGATGATTTATGTTTAGACTTCTCTCAGGACACTATTTTTTTAACAAATTAATAGTTGGTCCAACCTGCCAACTACAAAAGCGGATAAAACTCACTCACAATACAACACTCGTCAATACTTTAGGTTCGAGTTCAATTGTCTTCCCAACCAAAAGAAAAAAAGAGAAATTTATAAATACTAATGTTGGTTTCAAGTCGCTTTGACCGGATCGATTTAGGTTGGATACCCATGGATTTGGGTTCAATTGTGATCATCCTCAACAAAAATGAAAAAGAAAAAGAAAAAACACTAAAGCGGACGAAACTCGATCCCGATACAAAGATCGCTCATATTGAGTAGATATGGTATGGATTTCCGGTAATGGCTGATTCGTGCCTAATTGTACATGTTTTACCCCCGTTTTCCTTATGAGTTTGTTACAATTTCGCTCCTAAAAGGGTGGTTTTATTCTAGGTTTCTCGTGTTTTAGTGTGTTTCAGGATTTAACAGGTGAAACCAGCCCGGGAGTCGAAAGTTGGAAGAAAAGGAGCGAAAATGGGGAGAAGAGGTGAAAAACGGCGAGTTCACGATTTTCCTTGGATGTTCACGGTCTTGTACAATGCAGTCAAAATCGCGCTTTAAAACTTAAAAACTTACGATTTTACGCTTTTAGGTCACCAAAACGCTTTCGTTTCCATATAAAAACTGGACTAAATTGCGCTTTAAAGCTTAAAATCTTACGGTTTTACGCTTCTAGTTCACCAAAACGCTTTACGTTTTTACGCTTTTAGTTCACTAAATAAGTATTATTTTCATGAAATTAATTATAAGAAGTATATAAAAGTAAATCACCAACAATATGACACATTTGAGATTAGAAGATACATATCAGGTATTTCGATGCATTCTCAACTTCAATAGAGTAATCTAATTCACCAGCTAGGCTTTTCCCAAATTCATTAGCATAGAGGGAAAAGTGGCTTATTGTTAAAATTTATGTTTACGAACTTATTATTAAGATGTTATAAGTTGTTCTACTTTAGGCATGAATCGCATGTATTTATTAACTTATCTGTGCATTCATATTTTGCATAGCATGTGTCCTACTTAATAGATTTTTTGTTATTTTTCAGTATGCGTAAAAAACTTACGCTTTTACGCTTTGATTTTACGCTTTACGATTTTATCCATTTTCCGCTTTTAGGTAGAATCGCGCTTTTGACTGCATTGGTCTTGTATGACCGTGAAGAAGAGACGTTGCCCGTGAACTTTGAGGTGTCCAGGGCCAAAACTCAAGTTACTGACGCTAATTGAGTTCACGGTCACTAAGACCGTGAAACAGGAGTTGTGGACCGTGAACACGTGCAAGCGAAGCGGTGCGTTTTGGCACTAGCCTTGAGTTCACGGACGCGTTTCAGAGTTCACGGCCGTGAACTGAGCTCGTTCCCTGTTTAAAAGATGAGCTGAAAGGAAGAGTGAAGGGAGAGCCCATTGAGTGAGAAAGCCTTCTTCAGATTTTAGAGAGAGAAAGACGAACCAAAGGAGAAGGAGGCTAGGGTTTTGCTTCAAGAGTGGATTTGGTAAGATTCTCCCCAAGAGAAGTTCAGCACAAGTGCCAAAAAGATTAGAAGTCTCCTTCATGATGGCTTCTACCTATTCCCCTTGTGTTTCTCTCATTTCTAGCATGGAGTAGATTCCTTTTTCACCTGGGTGTTGTGAAACCCTAACTAGCTACCATGTAGTTTTCTTTATGTGAATTGAATGATTGTTTATGGGTGTTGTTTAATTCAATGATTGAGGTATTATTGTTGATTATGCATGTTTGTGCTTAGCAACCTAAGGATTGTGCATATGTGTGCTTAGCAATCTAAGGGTTGTGCATGTTGATGCTTAGCAATCTAATTAGCCACATAACCTAGATTAGAGAGGAAAACCCCCTTCCAAGGGAGAATAAATTGAGTTAGTATTCCTAGGGAGTTTTAAGTCTCCTAACTAGGTTAATTTAGGGCAAACCTCAATATTGGATTAAGCAATTTGGTTAAGCGCGATTAATTCGTCCAACCTTTGGGTTGAGTGAGGGAGTAAGTCAACCATTGATTGCCTAAACTGAGAGGGCCTAGTGACAGCCTATAATGCATGCCTCGGTTTAGCAATCATGAGTGTGGTATGCGACCATATTTGTGTCCCCTAGCGGTTAGCAATCACCTTGCCCATAACAATCATTTCGGTTCACATACCATGGTAGTAGTTAGGGCCTAGGGGGAAGCGACACCCAAGTGATCCTTCTCACAAAAGAGCTTTCAAAACCCTTCACTTTTGTCTTGCTTTACTTTAATTAGCAAACTTTTCAACCAAAACCTTGTTGCTAGATAATGATTCGTATAACTGAAGTAGGGGTACACGGACTTGCCTGGGTCGATATTTATACATACTTATCTTGTACTGCACCCGACTAAGGTTTATACTTGGACCTTAGGAGGGAATTAATTGTGGTATTCGGGACGAGTCAGTGGCATTGGGATATGGTGGATGTGGGCAACTTAGGGTTCAGTTGACAGTATTTTGAGAATGTTGTGAATTGGTGAGCGATTTTGAGGATTGGACAGAACATATCAAGTATGGATCTTTGCTCGCGACCATGGCAAACGGTGGAAGGGGATAACTCAGGATTCCACCGACAGTGTTTCGAACTGGTTTGCGAAATGGTGCGAAAAAGCGATGATTTGGGTTCAAGTTAGGATACCAATGTGTTTGGGTTCAATTGTGATCATGCTCAACAAGAAGAAAAAAGAGAAAGAAAAATCACTAAAGAGGATGAAATTCGGTCCCGATACAAAACTCGTGGTAGCGGACTTGGAAAACGGTGGTGGGGAACAACTTAGGATTCCCCCGACAGTATTTCAAAAAATGTTGTAAATTGGCGAGCGAAGGCGAGGATTAGACCATGCATATTTTATATGGATCTTCGGTCGCGACCGTAGAAAACGGTGGAAGAGGACAACTCAGGATTCCGTCGACAGTGTTTCAAGATGTGATGCGAAATGGTGGGAAAATGTGATTGATTCGAGCTCATTGGTAAACTTTTGACCCCCGATTTGCTTAGTCGTTTAAAGTATTTTTACTCCGAGAGGTTTGGTTTTACGCCGGGTTTTGCCTTGGTTTGGTGTTTTTCAAACTTTGGCAGGTGGAACCAACCCCGAAGTCGAAAGTTGGACGAAAGGGCAAAAAATCAAGTCAAAGGTTGGAAGCAGCAGGAGATCGCGGTTTGGGTTGTGTGTTCACGGTCACTAAGACTGCAAACTGGAAGCGCTACTCGTGAACAGTCAGGCATCCAGAGCACAAATCACTTTCACTGGACACAAGTCAGTTCACGGTCGTAAGACCATGAACTCAGGCCATTGCCCGTGAACTGGACTTAGTGATGCGACGCGTTTCGACTTGAGATCACGGTTCGGGCTTTCAGTTCACGATCGTGAACTGGGAACGTGATCTGAGGCTGATCTGGGTATATAAATGAGGTTGAGCTGAAGGGAAAAGGGGGAGAGACCTAGTGTGAGAAACTTCTTCTTCAGATTTCTAGAGTGAGAAAGTGACAACCAAAGAAGAGGAGAAGCTAGGGTTTCATCTTAAAGCAAGGATTTGGGAATTCTTCTCCCAAAGGAGGATCTCATCAACACAAGGAGCAAGGCTCGCATCTCATTGATGATTTTCCTTCTTCTCTCTTGTGTTTTCCCTTCTCGTAGCATGGAGTAGTCCCTTCTTTCACTTGGGTGTTTGTAAACCCTAGCTACAATTGTGTATGTTTGTATATTGAATGATTTGTGTGTGGTTGTGTTTAATGTGAATGTGGAGGTATTATTCATGAATGATTGTGTTGTGTGAAAGCCTATCAACTAATTGCCATTCTAACCTAGATAGAGAGAAAACACCCTTCCTTTCTTTGAAAGAGGTTTGAATGCTGGATTTTCTTAGGCGATTCGTTGTCTCCTATCTAGGTTATAGTAGGGCAAACATCTTATTTTGTATTAGCAGCTAGGGTTGGTTGTGGGTGGCCGTCCAAACTCCGATTCGAGGGTGAAGTCTTGGCAACCCTTACTCAATAGGTCGAGAGAGTCACGTTGGTGGCTTGAATCGAATTCCCTTCCCTCGACCTAGAGACCGAGAGAGTGGCGCTTGGCTACTTGTTGCACTTCCCTACGGTTTACAACTCCATTACCACA